ATTGGCTGCCTTGAAAATATATTTTTCAAAGGCATTTGATAGCCCTTCTTGGAGCTTTGTTGAAGCTATTTTGAAGAAAATGAATTTTTCAAGTAAGTGGATTCAACTTATCCTTCAATGTCTTACTGCGGTCAACTATCAGATTTTTTTGAATAGGCGGCTTTTTGATTAAACTTTGCCTTCAAGAGGTATTATTAGTCAAGGAGATTCACCATCTTGGTGAAAAAGCTTTATAATGCCTCTTGGTTTTGGAAGGGGGTTTACAATTGCTCAGATATCAACATTATCACTTCTAACCTGGCTTGGAAAGTTGGTGAAAGTGCACGAATTCCTCTAAGAAATAGATTCTAGTTTCCACTAAATTGTCCTAATCCTCAAGATACTTATATTGTGTCAAAGGTCTCTAATTTCACTACTCATTCTAGCAATTATTGGGTTCCTCTTATTTGGAATGAACAACTACTGAAGCAATGTCATTCACCTACAGTATTCAGAAAAAGTGTAAATATTAGTTGACAACTTTTTTATACATAAGCAAGTCATGTTCGAGTATTTACAACTAATTGTTTTGACATGAACAACAACATATTCATAATTAACCACAGCGCATGAAAATATTTGAAAAATAAATTTATAACATATATATGTATATAATTTAGCATAATATTGATAGCCTATCAATATTGAATGAATAAGTTGTTTAAAAATTGAAAATGTTGGGTTTTAGAAATTGATAACTTTTTTTATGTATGAATAAATCATATTCACATATTTACAAGTGATTGTTAGGATATTAAAAATAATATATCCTTGATTAACAACAATTCATATCAATGCTTGAAAACAAAAAAATATAAGAGATATATATATATATATATTTTATATTTTGTAATATATTATTAGATGGCTTTGGAAGTTCAATAATGAACTATTTTTTGCAACACCAAAGGGTCAAGGGTTCAAATCCTCCCTTGACCCCCTTGATTGGATTTGACAATTAGTGTTGGGCTAGAGCTCAGGTCATTAATGATGGCTAGTCGACGCAATGGCTCCAACAACTGCTAATGGTGACACTTTTGAAAAAAAGAAATAGGTAAGGGCATTTATAATATTTCAACTGAAATTTTAATTGCATGAGGGGCCTTGTAGAGGAATTTCATAATCTTTTGGGCCCTTCATGTAGATAAATTGTTTCTAAGGGTCTTATATGAGATTCTTCCTTTATTAAATATTAATAAAGGGTCTCTAAAAGAATTTAACATTAAATAAAAACTTAGATGAATTAGATATTTATTAATACTTGAACTTTACTTGTTAATTCTTAATATATACTTGTTTGAAACACTTGAAAGATATTAAGTTTTTTTCAAGAGTCCTACAAGGATATTCTCCCTCTAGGAAAAGAACTCGTCAACAGATTCAATATGCAGACTGTCTTTTATAACCAAAAGTACATTAGAGATATGACTGAGCACCCAAAAACCTTTCTAAGATATCATATTGGATTTCTTGAGATTCTTTCCCCCTCCCATTTGAGTGTGCCACTTAGGACATTAACTAGTGATAGACAAATAATGGTATAAAAATGTGAAGAGGCCGGAGATACTCCTAATTTTTAAAATGAAAAGACAAGCATTTGTTGGATATCATTACAATGACCCAATAAAAAAATTCATTAATAAAAAAAGATTGGGTCTAGTGAAAGGGTTTAGTACTTCATGTGATGAATTAAGGTTTTAAATTTTTATAAAGAGAGGACATTTAATAGAAAAATATTTATGAGGAATCAAAATAAAAAGAATTCTTTCCTTTAGACATACCAACCGAAGATGTCAATATTAACTTAAAATTAATGTCAATTATTGTGTTTCTTTTTTTCTTTTTTCTTTTTTTACTTCTTGAAGTTAGTGGAGTTGCACTTGTGATGTGGACTTAAATATAAGGTTATGTTTGGATGAACATGGATTTAGATTTAGATTTGAATTTGAGCCAAATTCATTATTTGGATAATAAAAAATGTTTGGATTTGGATTAAACCCAAATTCAAATTTAAATCTTACCTTAATTCTTTTGTAATTTAAAATTCTTTCTAAACTTGTGCTATTTTAAATTTTCATAGAAGCCTTTTTTTCTTTCTTCACATTTGTTGTCAACTTCACTGCCTTCTCGACTTCGACGTCATTGATTGAGACTTGACAATAGTGACTCAAACCAAAAAGTAGACTTCGAATGAGACTGAACCACCAACAATGACCAGGCTCTGGACAGTCCCCTTCAATAGGAACTGCAGTACTAGCTTTGACCAGGATTGCACTGTCGATGCCAATCGAGACTGAACCGTTGGCATCAATTGGGTTTATGAATTTCAAATTTCAATTCACTTTCAATCACCTTCCTTCGCCACCTAGTGTCAATCTACCATCACCGTTGCTATTTGGGATTAGTTAATGATTGCCATCTTCAATCTATTATCCTTCTTCGTCCCACACTAAATGCCATTGTTAACACAAAATGGTCTGGTGTTATCATCTAGGTCCAATCTGTAGCTCTCAAGCTGTTGTCATTGTCTTATTCTAATACATAGGCAACTGTCAACATCTACTAGGACCATACTACCGTTATCGATCAAGATTAGACCACTGACATCATTAGGGTTTAGATAGCTAGCGTCAACCGAGGCTAGGTTGTCACCTTTAATTGAGACTGGACTGCCAACTTTGATTAGAATCGGATCACCAACATCATTCAAGTTACCTTTAAATTCAAACATAGAGTTTAAAATTTAAAATTTTATTTAAAATCCAAACAAAATATTTTAATATTATAATTTAAAATTTTTTATATCATCCAAACAAAAAATTTAGAATCTATGAATTTTAAATGTGAGATTTCAAATCCAAATTACCAATCCAAATCCATTCATCCAAATGCAACCTAAGGAAAATCGATCAAAAGGAACAAAAAAACAAAAATATTGGGAAAATGGACTAGTGTTTGAATTAAACATTTTAGAAGTGATCCTTAGGAAGAATAATGTTTAAACATAAAAGGTCTGAATTGTCCCTTTAGTAAAACATGGAAAGAATGTGAAAGGTGTGCCTAAATTTACGAAACATTTTCAGAAAATAAGAGATATTTATTCAGAATAAAAACATTAAATTTTTAAGAAAATTTTGTTGAAATATTCGAATATTTTAAAATATTTGAATATTCAAGGAAAATAAGTGAAAATTGGGAGTGAAGATTGAAGACTATTGAAGGAACATAAAGACAGTTGAAGATTCGAAAATGTAGAAGACCGTACCACTGAGGATGACTGAAGATTCGTGGAAGAAAATTGAAGATACTTGCGATTACTTTCTTTAATTTCATTCATTGTCCGATGATATTTAAGTTTCAAAGAAGAGATTCGAATGTTGGTGTAAACTTTTGAAAAAATGCAGACATGTTTCTTTGTTCACCCTCCAATTTTATTGAAGACCACTGATTTCCAAATAAAAGTCATACGTTTTACAAATATTTAATTTATAATTATAAAAATTGTTTGAATTAATATTTACAACACATTTTTTAAGACATAACTATTGTTAAGTTGATCTTTCAGGATTGTCATTCTCCCAAAGATTTCTTTGAAACCTGGGAATTTTTGCCCAAATTTTTGAACCATTTAGTCCTTATTTCCAGTTTCCCCAAAAATATAATGTGTATGAGATCGATTCCGATGCCGACTTTAAAGTCTCCAACTGAGCAATATATATTTTATTTATTTTTAATGATGTGAACAAAATACATATAGCCATTTTAAGCAACAAATATGACGTACAATAATATTATCCAACAACTTAATCACGTTTATCAATGAAATTTCTTAATATCCCACAGTCATGTTGGAGTATCACTTCTAATTGGACTAACAAATAAGAATGTGATGTGTACTTCTTTGTCTGGAAATTTGGTTGTTTTACATGAATTAAATTTGATTCAAATTTGTTTTACACAAATTTTTTTATGCATATTTCTTTGCCTGAATATTTGGTTGTTTTACATGAATTTTTTTATAAAAAAAATATCATTCAAGGACTGCTAAGACAATTTAATATTAAATAAGGACCAAAGAATTATAAAATATTACTATAAAACTAAGAGATTAATTTGAAAATAATTTTAGGTGGGCAAAACACTATAATACCCATACTTTTCTTTATTTTTTTCTTTTAAACTTATCAATTAACGAATAATTTCTTATTAAATGCAAATAAATACTTATTAATTAATGAATAAATATTTGTTGAAATATGATTTATACTTGTTTCTTTCCATAATCAAGCTCTTATAGATTATTGAACTTGTCAAATAATGAATAACTTCTTATTAAATACAAATGGATACTTTTTTATTAATAGATGATTAATTATTAAATCATGCTCTGCACTTTTTCCTTCTTACAATCAAACTCTTTCAAATTCTTGAATTTATCAACTAACAAATAACTTCTTGTTAAATATGAATAAATACTTATTAATTAACAAATAACTACTTATCAATTTAAAAGAGAAAAGCAAGAGTAATATAATCTTTTTTATATTAAATTATTTTTAAATCACTCTCCTAATCCAAGAATGATATTTCTGAATTTTTTAGTTTTTATTTGATGTTAAATACCTTGAACGATCCTTACTTTTCCTATTATATTTCAAATCGTTAATAGTATGTCATACTGTTAGTATCTGCATGAATATTTTTCTTCTTTGATAATGTTTAAATCACACAGCATCTCTACTATAAAGAAGCATACAAATCTCTTGATTGTAAAATATAACCAAAATATTATTGAGAACGCATCAATATCAATTGTATAAAAATAACACAGTTGTCATCATTAAATAATATTTGAAATGTTGTTTCAGTAAAAAAAAAAAAAAATTCTTAACTCTGATTCGGCGAATCAGTGTTTTCAAAATGAATAGAAAAAAATGATCGTGTAATATTACTTTTTTCCCGTGATAATGATCAAGTAATATCAATTTGTAGGAGAATATTATTCATATATTAAAATAACAAATCAAACGGGTACAATACTACAATCTGATGGACCAACGAGAACTGGGTTAATGTTAATAATCACTTACAAAGGGATAAAATGATAATCTCGGCTCAAATCCAACTACAGCTTCAAATGCATTCAAGCAGTCCTACCTGAGAGAGCATATTGTATGCGTTATCCATTTATTCCTTTTATTTTTAAAGGGCAAAGAGTCACATGATCCAACATTACAGTGTTATCCATCACACCAAAGATTATCATATCCTTATATATCATTCTGGCAAACTCCGTATTATATACATTTAAATGGTGACATTGCACTACATATACATACATATATGTATGTATATATAAGCCTTGTACAACAATAAGATTTTCAGAACTATTTATTGTATAAGATAATCCACAAGACACGGGGGCTTTTCACTCGTTGAAATGAGGCATATTGAATGTGAAAGAATGAATTGAACCAGATTGCATTGCATGGCCACTATTCAACAAACAATGATCTACACTTTCTACCAATTACATATGATCCAACGTATACTTTAGTACCTTGTAGGCTGTGTTGCATTTGTAGTTTTGCTATCTGACGGCGTGAGAGGCACTGTTGAAAACTCGGAGCTGAGACGTTCGGAGCGCGGGAAATTTCCGTGCAGTGGAGGGCTGAGATTATGGTTAGATGATGAACTCATTGATGAAACAGATGCTGTTCCGGTGGTTGGTCTTTGACTGGAAAATGGCGGCAGAGTAGTATTTGGACTTCCATACAAGCCAGTACTACTGTTTTCTGCTGAATCTCTCTTCTCTTTTTCTTGTGTTTCCTTGAGCAGAAAATCAACCCACATATCTGCAAATGACTGAAAGAAGAGGAAAAGTACTTAGAGCTACTACACTGAAGATGCAGAATGAAAACTTCACATCAAAATAAATATTACGAGGTTTTCAAATGTAGAAAACCTAGTCACATCTAGTTTGAGTCATACAATTAACATTCGTGAGAAGACCACATTAAGATCACAGCAGGCTGCTCAAAGACCTGTTTGTTTGTATTCCCATTAAAAAAAAAAAAACAGTTTTGCAATACAGTCTTTAAATTTTTTTTTCAAAACAAAATAAAAAAAAAAATCTGTTTGATTGTGTTGATTTAAAAACAATTTTAGAATTACAAAATGGCCAATAATGACCGATTGTCGACGGTTAATGATGGTGGATTATGATAGAGATTAGTTAAGTTAATTGTAGTTTTTAATAACCAAATGTAATGCATTTTAAAACAAGAAAAGTAAAATGAAAATAGCCTTAAAATGTCTTTATTTTTTATTTTTAAAAATAAAAGTGAGCAATTTTGGAAACACTTAAAATTAAGGACCTATTTGGTTTCTATTCTCATTTTTTGCTTTTAAAAACTGTTTTGTAACACAATTTTAAAAATTATTTTTCAAAACAAATAAAATAAAAATATTTATGGTTATGTCAATTAAAAATAGTTTTATAATTAAAAAAATGAACTGATAGTGATAGTTATAGATAATTAATAATGGTAATTAATAATAGATATTGGTCAAGTTAACTGTAATTTTCAATAATTAATGTAGTGTATTTTTAAAACAAGAAAAATAAAATGAAAACAACTTAAAGTTATTTTTATTTTATTTTATTGTTTTTAAAAACAAAAAATGAAAACAGTTTTAGAAACAATTAAATGAAAATACTTATCCAAAAAAGTTTTTAAATTTTTCTGTTTTCGAAAACAAAAAACAAACAGGACCTAAAACACTTGTTCAAGCAACTTTTTTATTTTTCATCTTTAAAAACAGAAATCAAACAGGCCCTCTTCACTTCCTTCTTGTCCCACCCAGGTAAGAAGAACATGCATCTCAATCAAACTCAAATGACCCAATCTGTTCCTCTAAACTCAAAGTTCGTGCACTATGAGGTGGAGAGGTGGGGCAAATGACAATTAATGGAAAAATCGATAGTCGGTAAGATACAAGTAACTAGATAATAACCAATCATGTACTAGTTAGTAATCATGCACTATGTTTGTGTCAACTACACCTTGTGCTTTAGACACACCCAAGCTTCGTAAGCACAACATATGATGCAGTAACTTGTTTTTGAGTAAAGAAAAGAAGTGCCTTTCCTCTTGACTAACCAAACAGGGTGTAAGTGCACAGAAGTTCCACAATTTTGCTAGACAAGTCAATGCGCCAAAGGGAAAAAATTACAGCAGACCCAAAGAAACTCACCTGGTTTTCGGATCCCACATTTGCAGCTGCTTCAGCAGGACTACCCGCCAAGATGCCTCCAACCAGGCGACCAGGTAACCCAAGAACTCCACGGACGACACCTTTACCGGCACCCTGTTGAGCAATACCTATCCTTTGCTTGTCCTCATCAGAGAATCCTAGCATGCGAACCATGAGATCCAAAACCTGTCCTCAAATAACAAACGTGAAAAATTAATGTGAACATAGCATTATAGAGGCTGCGGATATAAGAACGCAAGTAGCATCAGAAGCACTGGATCTAAGTCAATAAATGTATACCCTCCTAGCACAGGCGCAAAAAAACCATGCTAAATGATTGTAGAAACAAGGGTTTCCTTCCCATCCTTATAGTTCCAAAATGCATAAAAAGAAACTGCAATTCAGGAGGATACATACCTCTTTGCTGTGATTCCTCTGGAAATAGGTTACAAGTAACTTTATAACAATGCGCCTGACACCAATATAAAGCAAATTAGTATGAAAGTTACTAAAAGACAAGAACCCCCGCTACAAAATAGAAATTAAATTCATATCTAGAGGAATTCAGTGATGAACCCAAAAGGCGCAATGAAAGCACTAGTGCAAGCTTATTTAGTAGAAAGAAGACTGGCAAGGTGGCTCCATAGGAGACAAATAGAGAATAAAGGTGGCATGGCATAATTAACTCTAGTGAGGTCCAGAAGTAGAAGAGAGAGTAGTAGAAAATCAATCAGCTAGGTATTTTAAGAGGGTCTTCTGCAGGGAAAGGCAAGGAAGAATTCAGATTGTTCATGGAGAGGCTAGTAGCTTGAATGCTAGAGGTGAATTCTATCGCTAAGAAATACTTAAAAACAGAACAAAGCTTCACTAAATTAATATGAGAGATATATTTCCCAGTTGGTCTTTAGCAACCTGCAACTAGACCTCAACATGCATGGCAAGATATAAGTATGGGCTTCATCACCTGTCTTCCCAGATCTTAAAGATTTGACACTATTATGGTGATGGTGGAATGTTTACCAACTATGCCCATTTTTTTGCCTCCATCATTACTTTCTCCAGCAAAGGATGTAGCATCTGGTTTAGTTCAGGAAGTGGTCCATTCAAATGGATACTCCACATCCATTGTTACAGATTTCAATAGGGTGTTTATTGACCTTTTATGGGTGCAAATTGTTTAATTAATCTGGCACAGCTATCAATTAAAGTTCTGGTTTCACCATCAAACATGTGTTTTACAAGCTATAAGCCACAGCAATAGGTAAAATGGCTTAGTTGGGTTAAGTACTGATTCAGCCCTATCTATAACAGATCGACTAGCCTCACTCCCTTAAAAGCTCTTTATGGCGAGGACCCATCCACTTTCTTCAAGCCGGAGGATGACCTTGATGGAACTCAAGCTCCAAATGATATTAAAATTAGCAACAATCTAGCAGGGTGCAAGTTTTACATATGATTACAGAGAAAAATAAGAAGTAAAGAAAGCACACACTAGCCTTTACGAGGCTAGTCTCTCCCACTTCACTCGATGACTTTTTACCCTATTCTGACCCAAAACCCACTATACATACCCTATTTTGAATCTGTAATCTGTTTTTGCTGTCAGCATCATTTCTGTAGTTGTGTGGTCCAATATTCTGTAGCAGAGGTATATCTATAACCTTTGCATCAATCCTTGTTTGCAGATATGCGTATCTGCATTTTGGCTGTAATACGGGTTTTGGGTTGGATCTTGTAAGCTGGTATAGTGTAATATTTTTTTGGTGGAACAATAACAACGTTCCCCAATTTGTTTGCTTTCTGTTTATATGGTTCTGAGTTTAAAATAGAAACTTTAGTGGGTCCCAACAAAGAGTAGTTCAGAGATTGCTCAGATGAAAATGAAGAGCCAGGCATACAGAAGACATGATGTGTACTATGCAGTTGTGAATAATCAGCCAAAGTAATTGGAATTAGACCTAAGTATTGGAATCAGACCTAAGTCCTAACACAATTCCAAATAGGAAAACTTCAATCATTTTCATTTTTTTTATAGGAAAAAGGGAGAGGTAATATATATCCTTAAATATTAATCTGTAGTGCCCATGAATCCCAATGACCAAGAATTGGAAACTGACATGGTAAGGAACTATAATATTGAATATCCTAGAAAGATTGAATTTTATGAACTGCTCATTCAATTAATCTCATAATCTCAAATCAAATAATGCGAGACAAGGGGTTTTTTATGTAATGCCATTTTAAACTTAAGTCCCTAGCTAAGAAAACTAACAAAAATTGAGTCCAAGAATTTATGGTCCTTATAAAATTTACAGAGTATCAGGCAGCAGTTTCTGACCAAATACATGGAATTGCAACCTGAAGCCCTAAATAGAACTCTACTAACATGTTTGGAACCATGTCTTTGGAATGCCAAACGTGGTTTTGACAGAAGTAAGAACAGTGTTGCTTTTGACAAAACGTTATCTTGGAACCACGCCAATATAGTTCTAAACACATTCCAACTAAGGGACAACTTGAAGTCTCTGTCAAATGGACTCACTTATCAGAATATTATAACACATGGGAAGAGTATGATGCCATTCGATCTCAATTCCCTGGTTTTCAGCCTGAGAATAAGTAGCTGCTAAATGGGGAGAGGGCGTAATGAAAGCACAAATGTGTACATTTATTCTAGAAGAAAGAAGGCCATTGGGGCAGCTACACCAGATAGAGAACCAACGTGCAGTGACATAACTACTTTGGTGGGAACCAGAGGTCTAGAAGAGAAAAGGTATGAGATAATCATCCATGACATGTGTTTTAAAAAGGTGCTGCATTGCCAAAGGGAAGTAGGACTTCAGTTTTTTGTAGAGAGACTAAACTCTTGAAGGCTAAATTCTTTCATCCTATTCTCATCTAGTTTCTTATTTACATTCTGTAACCCCCACAGCTACTGTACACACTGGTAGAGTTAAATTCAGATTTTCTCACAGAGAAATACACATAAACAGAGTAACATTCATCAGAAACTTTTCGTTAAATAAAAGATCAATAGATAAATTTGGAGATCAATACCCCCTTGCACAAATTTGTTTCGTCTAATACAATCAACTATAATTATGCAAGAAACCAAAATCACAGCCAAGCTGATATGAATATAATAATTCAAACCCACAAGCAGGCTAACCTGTCAACAAGAAAATCTGAATCCACAGACATCCTGTTTAGCCGTGTCATACTCTGCTCAAGAGCTCGCCTCAGTTTGGCATTGTCTTCTTCAAGCTTGCTAAGTCTAATTCTCCACTCCGATTGAGCCTTCTCAGACTGTGAAAGCTTGGCCAAAATTTCGTCCCTTTCACCCCTCAATACTTCTGCTCTGTGATCGGCATCCTGTCAGTAGCATGACCAATTATATTATTGAACTAGAAACTTCAATATTTACCTATCAGATGTAGTAAAAATAAATATATTGCCCCATTAATATACTTGAGAAAGAACTTTCAAGAGGATGACAAAAAATTATAATCACAACTGTTATGGTACTTAGTTGAGAAGAGAGAAAAAAGGAGAGGAAAAGAGAGAGATAACGAGAATAGAGAAGCAATCTGAAGGGTGCAATCTTATTAGAATCGAATTCAAAAACCAGTACAGTACTGCCTCTTATTTATAGGCATTATTCGGTTCTTAATGAACATCCTAATCCATCCAAATCCTACTAATGTCATTCAAATTCCATTTTAAATTCTAACAATCTATAAGAATAACTAATTTCTTAATTCTTTTCTTATGTATAAGAAAACTCCCATGTCTTCAAAATATTTCTAACCACTGATTAGTAAAACCAATTCCAAAATTGCACCTTAACACAACTAAGACTCAAGCGGCTAATATGCTGACTAAATCAAAGGCTAGAGTAATGTTTGAAGAGTTCAGTAACAAGTTGGGAATGATCAACATCTATTCCCTAGCTTGAGGAGGTGATGGAAATCATGGTACTAACTAACCAAGATTTCACTCCATGATAATATGCTTGTTTATTTATTTATTTATTTTTTTGTATTTCAGTTTTATTTGTTACCCGCTCTGTAGTTATGATTTATATTTCTTTCGTTCTACAATATTTAATCCTAGCTAGATGAATCAGATCCTATCAGTTAGAATCTCCAAGAATTCCAAGGCTAGATGACGAAGGCCTGTTGCCTCATATCAATATATTTTTCCATAGTTGCAAAAATAAGCACAACAGCCCAAGATCACGTTTTTCTTTTTGGCCACTTCCACATTTTCTTGATCATCATACCTCCGAGAGAAACAGCTCTAATGCCAATTCATAGGAAACTCCTCACCACACAAACACTATGTGCCTACAGAATACCAAAGTAGTTTCAAGAATAAAAAGGTTAGCCAACGTTCAAGAACTTGTCTCTTTCCAACAACACCTGACCAAAATTTTTTGGACCCCCTTCCTTCTCAGTTTTCCTCTTTATATACTTTTGTCAAGTAATTCTTTTAACTTTCACCCTTCATTATCATCCCTACTTACTGCTTTTGCTCCTCTACTTTCTGTCCTCCCTGGTTCCTAAACTTTGTGCCTTCTTCTGGATCAGTAGCTCCCCCTTTACTGTCCTTTGTCACCCCCATGCTTCCTTTTCACACTATCTGATGTTATACTATTCGACACATAGTAGTACATCTCATTAAAGGATATTGTGCTGACAATTTTTATCCTATTAGAATCCTAAAGATGGGCTCCCAAAAGCAAATAGAAGTTATCCTACCAGCATAGCAACAATAGTAACACAAGGATACAAGATAAAGATGAAGTTCCATACTAATAACAAGATGAAAACTAAACTAAACTGAATAAATTCAGCACAAAAGTGGGGGCGAAACAGCCTTTTTATCTTGCGATTTCCAATATAATTTCAGTGTAAAGGCCAAAATGTTGTTAACCTAACAGATTTAAAGAAAGAAAAGCTGACTATAGATCATACTTCAAAATGATAAGAAAGTCATACTTTCAATTGTTGAGAAAGTCTAGCTGATTCTTCTCTTGCATGAGCCATCTCTTCTTCCAAATGTTCCTAACCAAACAAAAATACAGATGTAAGATACCCCATACAACTATGCATAGAAGCACACAAACTCTGGCACAATAATGAGAAAAAGTGCCAATAACCCAACTAAAACACATTAATGTCAACCAACAGAATAGCTGTCCAGTTCTAATACCTTGGCTTCAATTTCAGCATAATACTGCCCAAGAGCTGTCTGTAGATTTAAAAGTTCAGTATTCTTAGCATCTATTATGCTTGTACAGTTTGCAAGCTTCTTGTTCAGATCATCAATGATTTCCCTGGACTTAAGGACTTCACTGCCGCTTGCCATCTTCTGTTCCTCGTGACTTGCAATTGCCTGCTTTAGACTCTTTTCAAGATGAGAAATTTGTGCCCTTAGAAAGGTATTGCTTTCACGTAGTTCCTCAATGACTTTGCTATCCTCATCCATTTTTTGTGATTCTTCAGATTCCTAGAGAGCAAGCAACAAAGAAATCCTCCTTAGTTATGATTTCAAATAGGTTAACATACTGAATCCAATAGGAAATCATGTAAATAACTCTTCTAAGATCATCGTATGCAAGGGGATGATATATTATTGAAGCATTAGATGGTAGTCTGAGAAAGGAAGCTTGTAAATAGCAACTTTTGAGGTCAAGAGCATGGCTAAGAAATGAAGCAGGTCATGAATTCAGTATTATTGAACAAACAAAAAATAACTCAACCAACTATTATATCAAAATGAAACCAATAGGGCTTGCAGTTATATTAAATTGTCCCTGTATTTAGCATTACAAAACTGATTAACATATATTTCCATAGTTAATAGGAATCTAATCCTATGCTATATCTAAAATTCCAGCTGCCATATTCATTCTGGCTAATACTGTCTTCCATTCCATACATCCCTCCAATATCTAGAATTTCAAAAGTGTTCACAGCTGAGCCATCACTAAGATCAATAGATGTACATTTCAACATGCATATTTCCACATTCATAATCGCAATAAGAAGATAATTGGGATAACAGAAATTGGTGAAAAGCAGCTCAAGCACTAATGAACAAGATTTCAGCTTTACTAACTTTTGGAATAGAGACTGTAAACCTAACTCTGTAAACACATTGTCTATAAACCTGTTTACATGGATACGAACTGGTTTGAGTTCATCTGGAGCAATAACAATGCATACAAAATGACATAGAAGTAAAAATGACAGTATCAAGAGAACTTGTCCTCTGCTTGTCTCTACTCAGCCATAATTAACTCTTCTTTAGAAGAAACAAAATACAAATAACAACAACACCACCACCAACAACAATAAAATCAACAAATAAATAAACAAACAAATAAATAAAAGTACAAAGAAGGAAACCTTTTCCAACAAATGCTGCTTAAGGCGGGTCAATTGTTGTAATGCTTTGTCCCTTTCACCCTGGGTTTCCTTTAAATCTTTACTTAGCTTTTGCAAGGATCTTTCCATTTCTTCCTTTTCTGGAAAACTTTTGGAAGAATCTGGCATCTGTTTCCAAAAGTAAATGTCCCGATCCCCCCCCCAAAAAAAAAAAGAAAAGGCATATGTTATTAACATAAATTTTAATCTGTAACCAATAAAGTAAAAAATATTATGAAGCTGAGGTCCACCTCACTCATACTGCTTGAATCCATCAGAGAAGCATCTGCTGGCATTTTACCAGTGAAAGACTTCTTGCTTGTTTCCAGTGCAGTCTCAAGCTCCTTCTTCTCGACCTAGTAACAAAGGATAATATGATCACGTCAGAAAAGCATGATATACAGTGGCTGAATTACAATCATAGAAATAAAGCATTAAAAAAAATCCCAACCTTAAGGGTGACATTTTCCTTCTCGAGGCTTTTGATTAATTTTTTCAAGCTATCTACAGCATCTGCATCTTCATCCTCCCGTCTACTCAACTCCATTCGCAGACACTTTATTTCTGATACTTTCTCATTCAATTCATCATGTATTTTGCTCATCTCCTTTGATGTCTTCAAGCAATAACATGATTATCATGTATTAGACAACCAAAAACTAGGAAAATCAAACCATAAATATGAGCATGGAAAAAGCATCAATGATTCTACAATATAGTTCATTCATGCAAACCAGGAAGTCAAGTTATCCTTCCTCGGATCCCAAAACATCATTTGCAGAAAGAGGCTAGATGGAAAATTTGAAGCATTGGAGAAAGAATCAATCTTTATTATGACATTAGTAATTTCAATTCAAATTGGTATCATAAATTGCAGGAGCAACATGCTTTATTCCCTTACATTAAACGCAACTACTTAGTGAGCCACGTCCTCAAACAGAATTGATATGGTATCAGTATTTCGTAAAACAGGAAACTATAGAGGGAAACATATCTTAGTGTGAGTTATTATTAACAGTAAAATCAAGGCAGTCACAGGTGAAAGGCGCCCTGTAGAATGCCTGAAATGAGAACTGCTAGAAAGGTGCTTGCTTGCCCTAGGAAAGCAAAGCAGTACAATAAGAAAAAAAAATATGTATAGACAAAAAAAGACATAAACATATAAATGAAAGGATAGATAATTGATGACTCTAGTGCTCCCAATTCCCTCTTCCGCTCCGGGTTTGTTTATATTTGTTTAGGTTACAAAATCTTATAAACTATTAACTAATATAATATTTTAAATATTTACTATCCTATCTTATCCAATATTTTAAATTTAAAACTTCCCTTTAATATCAGAAAATTCATTAATATTTTAAATTTTAAATTTTCCTATATTTTATTATAAAAATTTCCTATCTTAGATTTATATTTTAGATATAAAACAGTTTTATATTTAAACAACTAAGCAAATATTAAGTGGACCAACAGCATAGACCTAATAATATAGAGAGGGACCAACAGCAACAACAGCATCATGCTCATTAATGCAAAACAAGAGGGGTCAGCAGCGTCACTCCTCAGAAAACAAACCTTCAACTGACATTATCGGATAGACACCAAAGGTACTTGCCTTATACCCATCAAAAGGAGCCCAAGGCGTCAAGACTCAAGAGGCGAGTGGCATTTGGTGCCTGACTAAAGCTAGCACCTTGCCTTATGGCTTAATAACACAGTAAAATGAATACAAACCCACAATTTAAAATGGTACTCCTGAAGGATCTAAAATTTTTCCAAAATAAAACTGCTTTTGATTGATTGTTTCGTATCACTATATTATATATGTAAGGACAGGCCTGCTTAAAAGCACCCAGACACTGATGCAAATTTAACTATGACAACAGAAAGTGACATCACAGGTGCATAATATGCTGTAAGTTTCAATTTTATAACATGCATCTATAATTTCATGTCAATTGCCCTCTTTAAGTTATTATTATGTTATCTCAATAAGATAAGCATAAGCTGTGTGGTATCTCAAGAACAAGAAATGTCTGATAGAGTTAATGCATCATGCATTCATGCTGCCAATAAATCAAATGAGACATAACTCACTTTGTCTATTTCCATCTTCGATAATTTAAGCTCCTCCTGAAGGGACTTGTTTAATGTCACTTCCGCTGTCATTGAAGAAAAATAAATTATCAGTCAACTTTTAAACATATGTGCAAAATTTTGACTAGATATTCCAAATGTAGAAGAATAAAGAGACCTTGAAATTGTAGCTGAATTTTTGCCAGTCTATCACGTTCCTTCTCCAGTTCTGTATTCAATTTTCTAATCTCAGAAGTATGTTGTGCTGCAACTGTGGAGCCATTTCTTCCGTCCACCAACTCTGCAACCTCCTAGAAGGCATTCATACATCTGTTGTCAAGTTCACTCATTACTAAAAATAAAATTACAAATATAAAAGCCTAGTAAAATAAATGAAAATGGCCAGACAGAATAAAATTTGCATTTGAAGAAACAAATGAACAGCCATTCTCCTAGGTTGAAAATAAAAAAAATAAAAAAAGCAAACTCAGTGTCAAGGACTTGAGAAAGAAAATATATACTACAAAAGTTATTTGCTAAAAAAATCAACTTTGTGAAGGTTTATAACTAATAGCACCTCAGTTAATCTTTTACATGCATTGAGTAATTATGAATAAATAGAAACCTAAAATCACGGTACCTTGTCCTTTCCTTGCAAATCAGACTGTTTAGGTTCCATCTCATTTTGAATGGCATCAGAATCCAAAGCAGATATGATTCCATTGTTCATAGATTCCTTTCTTGAAACAACACCATTGAGCTTTGAGCTTCCAGCATGACGATTTTTTACATGAGATGCAAACTTATGATGTCGATTGGAAACTTGATCACTACTTCCCTGCAGAAGTATTCAAGAGTGGTCAACAAGGATTAACATAATTTGGCCAAGACTAAATATGGTACACAAACAAATGATTTCACAAGATCAACAACAAACCCTCTGGAACACCATAACATTTCCATGTCAAACCACATATCTCAAATTAAGGCACTCTTTCTTTGCATATATAGGTCAAACTACTCTATTCCTTTTAACTTTTTTGGCTACAAGATATCTCCCTTAAAGTTCAAACTGTCACAAAATAACTACTCAGAAAGTTTACAGTAGGGTTTGAAGTAGACAAAGGTCAGAAATAGTGTTGACCTCACCCTAATACCAATCCCAATAATGCCACTTCTTACCATGATTAAGGAATATTAAATTCCATAAGGTGGCATTTGGCTTGATGGATTTGGATTTTAGATTTAAAATAAAGTATTTGAGTAGTACAAAAAAATTCAAATTCGAAGACAATAAAAAGAGGTAGATGGAAAATGAAAACGAGAAGAGAACATGAGGATTAGAGTGACTGACATTTCAAATAACTAGAGTGCATGGGACATTTGAAATCACAAAGGAATTTATAATAAAATATGGATTTAAATTTGGATCAAATCCAAATCCATAAATTTGTATGGCTCCAATGGCGGATTTAACACAAATCCAAATACCCCACATCCAAACGTAGCATAAAATCTTTCTACCCTTTGCCAAATATTAAAACAGAGACATAATTGCAAACAAGTGTTGCAAGGCAGATGAAAAACCCACAGATCACTGAAATGTTTGGCACAAAGCAGTGATCCATCTCAAAATACAAGACATGACATGACTGCTAGTCCTCAAAACTCAAGGAATGCATAATGAATAAAACCTGGATGTTTATGAGATATTTTAACATTATACGGCATCATATCATTCAAAATGGGTGCAAAAAATATTTAAAATTTCACATGGGCACCATCAAGCATCATCAAATACCAGAGATTAAACAAAAGACTACAACAGGTTCAATAATTGAATAAAGCATATTAAACCCCACAACAAAGTTTGAACCAGAATGAAAGATTACCTTCACTGGATCAGTGCCCTTTGAAGATGCTGCAGAACTATCATTTCTGGAGACACTTAAAGCTTTACTTGTTGACTCCAAATTTTGCTTTAATGAGCCATTTTCGCTATTCAATCTGACAATTAGGTCCTGTTAAGTTGAAATGATTGGACAGTGAGACATATCAAATGCATTCAAAACCCAGAAAAGACAACGAGGAAATAATAATAATTATATTGTCAAACAAATGTCTATTCATGCATGGATGTTAATAGCATTATTTGATCCATGCAACTAACTTTACTTTGTAAGATAAGGCATGTTATTGTAGTTGTTGTATTGTTAAATGTTTGCAACATATCAGTCTATAATTTTTTCCTCTTTTGGGCAAGGGAGGACCATGGACACACATTAAAACACAACCAAAAAATAATAGCAACACTTGTTCCTCAAATGATGCATTCCAGCTGAGTTCGCTTTATTTGAACAGACCCAAGGTCAGGTCCTTCAGGATATCAAAAAGCCAAAATCACACAAAACCAGTAACAGTGCTCTAGGATAATAACAATGATATGGCATATAATGTCGTAAGGTCACCTGGCAGCAAAAGAAGCAGCTATTTGAAACAATCTTACAATCAAGCAGCTCCAACATAAGAAACAAGAGAAAAAGAAATCTCCAAAACACTAAACATATAAAAAAGAAATTTCTATACCTCCTTTTCTTTTAGTAAAGATGCATAATTAACAGACAGTGCTTTGATTTCTGCCTCAGATGCCCGAAGTCTCTTAATCTCTGATTTGTAGTGTTCAATCTGCAATAAGAAGATCAAAATGAAAGAAATGGCATCACTTCATAAAAAGGTCAAGGAAAGAAGAAAAAAACAAACCTTGAAAGCAACAAAGTCTCCACCAATTGGCACCAACTTTTTGAACAAACAAGAACCAATTTTTTAATGTGGAAGAATGGCAATATGGTGAGGAAAAGTAAATAAACGCACAACTGCTTTGTTGGTAAATGAGTGAATTTGCGGGAAAACAAGAAAAGCCACTTTCACAGGCAATCTAGGAATTCAGAATTGAGAATGTTGTTTAACCCCTAATACTTGTTCACTTCTTCCTTTATCTAGTCAGACTAACCTGTTCCCAATCAGGTCATTTCTTTGAAGTAAAAGGAAAACAAATTACTTAACCTGTTTTGATGAGATCAAAACCAGCATATTTGGAAACACACCCAAAACATATTTTGGAAAGGCAAGTACATAATGCATTCCAGCCCCCAAAATTTGTTCCAGCCTCAAACTACCATGTTTAGGATCCAGGCCTAAATTTCATGCTGGGCGGCTAGACTGCATTATAGCATCCTAGAATAAAAGTAACTATTCCTAGTTTGACTTTTTTTACAGCAATTTGGATATAATAATCACACAACGCAGATCTTCAGAGCTAAAGGGAGAGACGTGTGTTTATTTGTTGTACTGAAACTGTTGTGCATTTATAATTCTGAATTGTTAGTTAAAAATAGTTAGTTAGGTTATTTAATAAAATATCCGTTAAGAGCTGTTAAGGGTATGTAAGATGTATTTAGCCGTTAGATGAGAGACTGGGAAGCTACAAGACCTATTTGTAAATACAGATATTGCTTGACCCTTAATGAGAATTATTTGGTGGACTATTCAGCTAAGTCTCTTATCTCTCTATTGTGCTCTCTCTCTCTCTCTCTCTCTCTCTCTCTCTCTAGATCTCCCTATTCCTCTGTTCTTAGCCACTTTCCCTCTCTTTCTCTTTCTTTCTGGATTACTCCCTCTATTCAAAAATATGAAGCATTTTTTAAGAGATTAGATGTTAAAAACTGTAAGGCATTTTTAGTGTTTCAAGATGTAACTCATGCATTTCTTCCAAAAATGCCACTAATGAATAAAAGCAGTTTATATTTCTTTTTAAGTAAAATACCCTATTAAATAAGAGCAAATGCAGAAAGATAGTGTTAGTTTAAAGATACTTAACTAATTTATTGGGAATGAAATTCAGTAAAAAATGCCTTATATTTTTCAAGAACAGTTAGTTTGACAGTAAAGCTAACTCAGATAAACTTAAAACAGTCCAATAATAACTAACACTAAATAGAAATACTAAAACTCTAACAACTCAAACAATGTACAATTTTACCAATTTTCCATCATTATGTTACGTATATTTAGAAACAGAATGCATATGTTTATTTAGTAATTTCACAGCCATAAGTAATTTACCTGAACAATATCCAAAACAAAAAGTAATTGCAAAGAACTACGACTGGAATTGAATGGACTCCCCACATAAAACTCTCAATTTTTTAATCAATTTTTTCAAAATGCATTCTCTTCAAGATTATCCTCCACCAATTCCCCGAACAAGTAACAGTATTTCAATAGAATTTTCTGCTTAACTGGTTACATCTATTGAATAAAATGTGACATAGATTAAGCAGTTCATACTAGCATGGACAATGTACTTTCACAGCCAATCCTGATAGTACGTGGATGCTATTCTGCATATAAAGGAGAACCAATTTTGGAGCAAAACTCACAACGCTATCCCCCCACCCCAACGGAAAAATAAATAAATAAAGCCAATTTTTAATCTATAATTTGGGATAAAATGCAAAAAATCAAAATAGGCCAACCCAAAACTTACTAAAACCAAGCGACACTTGATGATTGGTAAACATAAATTACCTAATCATTAATATAAAGAAATGAATTCATGCGGATAAGTTCATAACGTCATCGATCTGTGTATTTTCCCATTTTCTTTTCATATCCACTTGCTGACCCTCTAGACGGAATAGAGTCATATAAGACATAAATAAAACATAATGATCTGTTACTTCCCACTATGGCCCTTACACTCCTACTTCCCAAGCAACAATTGGGAATGAATTAGTGAGCAAGATTGACCACCAAAATACTCTAAATATAAATGAACAATTAATGTGCTCCGGGTTAAAATTTGAAACCATATACTATATCGTCAAAAAGACACGTTGTTCGAGAACACCCCACATCCATTTTATCCCAGACGAATATGTTAGTCTGAAACAGTAGCATAAGCACAACGAAATCATCAATGAACGTCTTGATTTCTATCTTGAGAAGATGTTCCGGTTCCTAAACTATTCAGCATTCAAAAACAAATTCAATGCTTCCCATACACAGATTACAGCAAGCAAGGGGAAAATGACTAAAACCCATATGTTCAATAGACTAACTCCACCATATTCATCCAACTAAAATCGGGCAAGCGCCTTAGAGATCCAAAAAGCATATACATTACCCAATCTTGGTAGAGTACAAATTGAAAATCCAAGCTCAAGAAAGAAACCAAGAAAAAAGTGGCACCTCAGAACTAAACGCAGCAGGATCATCCATCCCGTTTGAGAGCGGTGACCTTGGACCCAATTTTGAGTGGGCAAAACTATGAGAATTCCTCCGATCGGAGATGGGAGAATTGAATCCGTTGGGCCTGCTATAAATCTCTAGCACATCCTCGTCGTCGTCGTCATCTTGATAAACATCAAGGGCGATCTTGTTCAAGTTCTCCTTCAAATTCGCGATACTACCCCACATGATTCAAGCTTTCTATATGCAATCCAAATCCAAATACCAAATATAAATATAAGTGTCGGCACAGACTCTAGAATTTGCAGGAGATGATAAAACTTTCTACGGATCCAAGAAAAAACTTAGCCAGAAAAAGCTCTTTGAATTTTCAGGATTGAATTCGTTTAACGGTGTTCTTGTCTCGCAAGAGTGAATCTTTTGAAGTTGGGAGTGCAATTTCGTAGATCTGAGATTTGGAGGAGGAGTAGTCTCTGATTTTGGCTGAAATGAAATTTAATTTCAGTTCCTTAAGAATTAATTTTTTTTTCCTTTTAATAACAATTAACCACGTCACCTGACACGTGCAGGTGCTCTGAATAGAAAATTCAAAAAGACGTGGAACCTAAATTTGATGTGTGTGTATACAAGAAGTTACAAACTCAAACTTTTTATTTTTATTTTTTTTTTTTTTGGCCAAAGAAACTCAAACTTTTTAGAGTGTAACTCACGAGAGGCATTAATATTTTTGTCAACTGAAGTCAATCGGCAATATTTATTTATCAATTATCAATAACGCATTTTTTAATTGATATATGACATATAGAAAATATCAAATAATGAATAATGAATTGCAATAAGCATGCCAAAAAAATTTCTATGAACAACATGAGAAATTTTAGTAGATATTTTATGATAAGATAGGACCAGCTGGACTGTAAATATTATGGCCAAAGTATGTATGACTAAATAGGATTTTAAAAAAATTATATTATATAAAATATATAAATAACTAAATATGTTTCTTATATATACTATATAGAGTTTAAGTCGAGTAATAAATATTTATTCGTTAAAATAGTGAGATATATTATGTTTTTTTTTTATTTTATGGATGACTATTTATATTAATATTTATATTTATAACTAATAAATACTAAGCCTAAATAGTAATTTGACCCTTAAACTATAGGGTCAAAAGTATTTGAAATTCTAAATTTATTTTTGTATAATGCTGTTAACTTTTAAAAAATATGCAATATAGTTTTACCATTAATAAAAGTTAATTTTAACAACTAATTGATCAGAAAATAATTTCAAAAATTAGAAAACCAAGAAATTTTCTTAAACCTATTTTGTTTTTTTTGGGTTCCTTGTTTAAAATTTTTGCATCCTTTTCCATATTTTTCTTGGTATTTTTTATAATTTTTTTAATTTTTATTTATTTTTTGATCAACTAACTATCAAAATTAACTTTTATTAATAGTAGCTACGTTGCACTTAAAGGTGAGAATAGCCCAAATCTCTAATAGAGACTCACAACTTGGCTTATTTCAGGCCAAATTCAAACATTTAATTGAGCCTATTTAATTAAATAGATCAGGCTTTTTTTTTTTAAATCTAGCATATGAGCCTAACAGACTGGCTTATTTACCTATATATTAAAAATATATCAATTTCACCATTTGATTTTTAATCAATCTATTCTTTTTTATTTATAGTTATGTTTTTCATTCATATTGGACTTATTAATTTTGATGTTGCTACTTTATCATGTAGTTAGTAAATACTTTCAATTATTATATATTATAATTGATAAATCAGATTATATACTCTATACTATAGTAATCCTAAAATACATTTGAAACTTTTAAAACCAAAATGCAAATCTATTTAAAAAGCCTATCTTTAAATAAACTTTTAGATCAAGGTTAAACTTTAGATAGGTTCAAATCTAAGTTGTGAAAAAAATTTCTACAAATTTTAGGTCAAGTTTAAACCTCTGACTTACCACATAGGCTCGAGCTAATTTTGCCAAAAGCTAACTTGATCTAACATATTTTCACTTCTAATTATACTGTCTTTAAATGTTAAAGGGATACTTTGTACAAAAAATAAGTTTGGAGTCTCGGATGCCTTTAAATCTATAGTTTATTTTAGCCTTAAATAATAATGTACTGATTTTTTTATTGGAAATATGCAATAATATTATGTTATTTATTAGATATATATCTTATTTATTTATTGTATATATATCAGAAATTTTAATTAAAAAATTCAATTGAGCATTAGAATTTTCATCCCCGTTAAATAAAAATAAAATGGCATATCAATTTAACGAACTGGCAACATTACACACTTTAACTAAGTGCGTGTTTGGATATGCATTTTAATCGATTTTTTGGACCAAAAAATCAATTTTTCAATTATATACCCAAACACCAAATTATTCAGCAAATCGATTTTTTTCCAGAAAATCAATTTTCCCTATAAGAAAAATAAAACTAAACTCTCTTCTCTTCTATATTTTTTTTAATAAAATTTAAATTTTGGATCTCAAAAAAGTTAATAGTATAAGTTCCTATCAATCATTACCCTCTATTTAGCACTTACTATAAAAATAATTTAAATAAAATATTAATTGACAAAGAAAAATTAATTTAATTTAATTTTAAATTGAAGGTCATTATAAAAATTATTGCAAAGGTCCAGAGAGAGAAAGATTTTGCGTCATTTGTTATACTACTACATTTTTTATATTGCCAAAATTTTTAGGCAGTGATTAATATTTTCGTCAAATATGGCTCATATTCGTGGTATCATTAGAGATTAACTTGTATATTATCATCTTCATTAGTTATTGTAAAATTGATGTTTGATATTTAAAATTAAATTTTTCTCTTTTATTAAATTTATTTGAACTAAGATATATTGAGTTATTTATTTACATAAATTAAAATTGTTAATATTAATATAATTTAAATTTTTATAATTAATCAGATATATAATTTAAATATTATATTTTACTTTTTAAATAAAATTTAAAAAATTTAATAATATTAGATACAAATTTATCAATCATTTAATTTTAAAAAGTAATGTCCTTTATAGTAATTTATATAGTTAAAATTAATTCTGAATACATTATCCAAATATCTTCAATTATGTTAAATCAATTTTTAAAAAAATAGTATCCAAATAGATTGCACTATAACATAATCAATTATGATTAAAATTAACTATTTAATTAATTATACTTAACTGAAATTCAGATGAGCCCTAAGTTAAATTTTGGGTTAATAATCACCGTTTAACTTTGAGTATTAGAATGCTGGTTAAAAAAAAAAAAACCTTGAGCATAGAATCCTCATTCCCATTAAATAAAAATAAAATGAAACATGTAGTAATTTAATTGGGTGAGGTGCCATTGGCTCTTCCAAAAGACATTTCTTTCATTTACGAACTCAAATTTGAGATTCCATGCTTAAGATATCTTAGCCCTTTGCACTAGAATTAACACTTGATGATAAAGCCTTGTATTTTGATTGGGAGGTTTTTTTCTTATCTTTCAAAATAAGCATGAAGAGTTTATTTTTTTTATTTTGTTATCTTAATTTTGAGTATTTGTTTATAATTTTGAAGACATGTGATTGTCATCTTATCATCTTTTACTTGGATGAGACAAATATATTCAAGAAGGACTTGATATGGACCACGACTACTTAACTATTTATGATTCATAAAAAATTTACAATTTTTTGGCTGAAATTTAAAACGTTATCATAAAGACTTTTTTTTAATTGTTATTATTATTATTATAGTTCATGTATTTTCTACATCATATGAGTAATATGTAAAAAAGATAAGTGTTGTGTAATACCCTAATCAGTTAAACTTGACCAAAGTGAATTCGAACCAAATTGGGCCTTATAGAAGTTCATTTGTCCAGCTCAAGGTGTTTACAGATCCCAAAAAGTACGGGTCCTTAGGTCTTGCTTGGTTTGACTCATATTAGACTTTGTCTAATATGAGTTCTAAATGAAGAGTTGTTTAAAATTAAAAAAAAAACTTATATATTGTTTATACAATGATAAACTTGACATTAAATGAATAGATTTTGATAAAGAAAAATACTACTTCATATCTGCATACTTTAATCATGTTTTGTTTTTGTTGAGATCCAATGCCATTATGCTTTTTTTTGCTATTCTGTCTCTTCCTATTTTTTATCAGACCAAATTTTTAATCATACAAACTTATAATTTTGTAAAGTAATATATTTTTTTCCTAGCTATCCAATAGGTTTAATAGTGTTAAGTCCACCTCAACAAAATTAACAGTGTTTGAGCCAACTAATGATTGTTCTGAATATTTTTTTAAAATAAAAGGATTAACATTTAGATGGAACAAGTAAAAGAGATGGGAAAAAAAAATATTAGGATTAAAAGTAAAATGTATATATGAAATAATATATTGTTATTAACAATGTTTTCAAAATCAAACCGGACATTGAACCGAAAAAGTTAGCGGTTCACGGTTTGCATAATTCAACCGGGTTGGACCACTGGTCCAACCAGTGATGTAATAATTAAATTAAAAAATTATATATGTATATAATAATTTAAATATAAGAAAGACATATGAAATTACTATTTAGCTTAACAAAGTTAAATATTTTAAGTTTATCATGACTTAATAAGCTACATAATATAACATAATATCAAATGATTAAAAAAATTTGATAAAAAATAAAAAAAAATTTGAACAGTCCAATTTTGAAAACCGGATCCAGTTTTCAGCTTGATTTCGGCTCCCAGTCAGACTGCCGGTTCGAAACGGCTCAACCCGGCTCAATCCCTAAAATAGCTTTTTCCTCTAAACCAAACCGGTCTACGGTCTGACCGGCCAGTTCGGTTTGTTTTAAAAACACTGGTTATTAACAACCTATTCTCATACTTTGTTCAAATAAACTATACTAATTGAAAATATTTTATATTGACTGAATACTCACCAAGACTAAATAGATTTCAAATAAAAACATTAATTTTGACACCTTAAGATAGTATTTAGATTGGTAAATTTAGATTTCAAATCTCACATTCAAGTCCATGTGTTTAAAATTTTTTATCTAGGTAGTTTAAATAATAAAGGTAGTTACTATTAGGTAGTGTTTCAAATATGCATATGGAGATTAGAAATAATTAGAATTTAGAAAGGATTTCAAAATATGAAGAAATTAAGACAAAATTTGGATTTGAATAAAATCCAAAGCCATAAATTTTAAGTGCCCAGATAGGAGATTTGTAACATCCCAATTTAAATTTTAATAGTTAATTTGAATTAATAGAAATTTTAAAAATATTTAGAGGTAAGCAAATTAGTAGAAAATGATTATTAAATCTAACTTAGGATATAATTCTAAATTAAAATTAAAAAATTAATTAAAAAATAATAAAAAATATTATTAAATTATTATTATAATAAAAAAAAGAAAAGGT